ATGACACAGAAGCCACTATTGACCTGTCATACAATCACAAGGTATCGTCATACTGGCATTTCTATTCCATGCTTATGAGAGAGGATATTATATGGCATGAGAAAATTTCCCGGTAGAACGGGACAGCTTCCCGTCTAAATGGCGTCGGGTCGAGGTAGTTCCCCCTTTCCCGTACATATGCAGTACATATTAAATGATTCTCCTTCGCATAGGCAAAAATGCATAAATGCATTCCAATCCAGACGCAGAATATCAATGTGCCCAGCCCAGAGTTAAGCTTAAGTTGTCTTAAAGTCTTAAGACAACTTAAGCCATGCAAGACGCGTGCGTGGCTTTCGGCTTCAAGCAAAGGCAAGTTTTGGCAGCAAATCAGGCACGTGATCGCAGCAGGTCGGTCGAAAGAATTGCGGCAGATCGCTCACGCGATCAAAGTAGTAGGTCGAATGCAGACTCACAGTGGCTTAGACAGTTGCTCACCGAGCCAAATAAATTGGTTTCTCTATGGCGGTCAAGATGACCGCTCCTGTAGTTCTGGGTATGACGTGATATACGTCTCGGTTGATTTTGCAACCCCAGGTCTACTGCTGTATCGGGATGTTGAATGCTAAGATATAGGAAAAGTGGAAAATGCACAGGCTTTTAGTTGCCAGACGTGCAGAGTAAGTTGCTTTAAAAAAACAGCTAGCGGTCAAAACGACTGCTCTGGTACTTCTAGTGTTAAGCCTAGCTAACTACGGCGCCACGGCAATCCAGTCGGTCTGGACCAAATTTTATCTTAAATTAAAGCTCAAAACTCAGAACACAGAGTTTAAAACTCTTCTCGAGAAGTCTTCGTATTTACCATTTGAATCTATTAATATATACCATGCGGAATATTGAGGAAACGGAACTTGCCACTTGACTTGCCACTTAGGGTAAGTCCACTTGCCACTCAGGGTAGTACAGGTTTTTTTTTTCCGCCCCGAATATCTGCACGATATCATTTTCATTTTTAATAGTCTTTTAACAGACACCACTTCATGCAAAACCAAAAGCTGAATCTATTCGCTGCTGAATAATGTGCTCGCTTTGGATGTTACAACAGATACAGGAAAATCCTTGCCACTCAGGGTACAGATAAATGAAAAAAAAAGACAGGGTAGAGTTTACTCTTTCTTTTTTTTCATTTATCTATCTCTCCCTTCCATTCTTTGCAGTTGCAACCTAATTTGCATAAAGGTTGCAACTGCATCTCTATCAATTTTCCCAGCCGCTGAGCTCGATATCAAATCCGCAGTCGTTGACTGGTAGCTAGGGCACTTGCTATTTTTTTGCAAATCAGTATGAAAAGATGCAAAAAATATCGCATAATGCCGCTCTTTTTGGAAGCAGTTACAAAATAGATCCACATTTCATTTTAGTCCTCCAACCTCAAGAAAACTTGGTGCGCCCTCCAACCGGGGTCGGGGCTCAGTCATCCGCATCAGCTGCCAGTTTCCTTCCAGCCTTCGCAACCGACGGGTTCGTTGCTGACAGGGGGGGGGGGGGGGGGGGGGGGGGGGGGGGGGGGAGCTTCTATTATCCTGCATGCCAAGCGTCATGGAAGATCTTTGGAATTTACTGGCATGAAACCTCAAGGATCGAAATCTGATATTGCAAGAGAATGAAACACATGAAGCTCGTCTACATTGCCGCGGGCAGCCGAACTCTCCATTCGTCAGCAACGAACCCGTCGGTTGCGAAGGCTGGAAGGAAACTGGCAGCTGATGCGGATGACTGAGCCCCGACCCCGGTTGGAGGGCGCACCAAGTTTTCTTGAGGTTGGAGGACTAAAATGAAATGTTATTATCCTCCCAAAGGTCATGGTTCGAGGGTCATGGCCATGGGTCGTGGTCGTGGTCATGGGTTCTCGTGTGGATGCGCTTGTAGGTAAAAGTGTTACACCGAGTAGAAAAATGCCAAATAATTCTGACTATTGCGGACGGGCGGAATAACAAACACGGAAATCGACTAATCGATCGTAATATCCGCCACTTCCCAGTACGTCGCTCTGGGAGTGACGGACGGATTTTTTCATGCTCCGAGAAAGGACCGCTCGCGCTCCGAGATAAGAGATGAACGACGGAGAAGGAAGAAGGGAAGGAGACTCTTCAGTCCGGCGGTATTCGAACTGCGACCCAGTTCATGCTTTAATGCGGCCCAGTACGATATACGAGAATGGCGGTTGAGGGTGCTTCATTCCAGGTTTGAAGTCTTTCGCTTAGAACGACGAGATTCTGTATCATTAGTCAAGACATTCGGATACCTATAATTATAAGATTGTACTTCGACTTGAACGTGTTCCTAACCTACAGTTTAAAGAGTTCATATACTACAAAAAACCTAAACTTGCAAGTGAATAATGAAAGGTGAGAGAAAAAAGTAGCGCTTGTCGAAAATATAACCAAGCAGTGCCCAAAACCGGTGCATTTACATGAGCCCTAACTCGTAGTAATGATACTTTTGTCGACTGCAAATGGTAGAACGATGGACACGGATCCGGGCCCGGATAGACAGTTTACGATTGCCACTCGTTCTTTAAATCAAGGTATGTCCATGAGTGGGAACCAGAGAAGCTAGTCTCGGAGCGCACCTATGCTCCTTCGCACAGCCGGATTCTCTCCCATTGCAGAAGCCGACCGTAGACGCCGAAGAACGACGACTGCAAGTGTCTGCGGTCTGCCCTGTTACTCATTTTCCACCTGTTTCGTTCGACTATTTAGTATCTATCGGTATGTGAAAGCATAATTGCGTACAAATTTTTTAGATTGATTGTAAAATTAAGGTTAGAGGATGGCAAAAATAGGAAATCAAGGACCTTGATTTCCTATTTTCTCGGAGACGGACGAGAAGAAGCATTTGACCATTAAAGTTGCGCAACTTGCAGCTATCTGAAATTCTGCAATGTTCCTACACCTAATCACCTGATCACCTAAGAGTGAAATTTCTTGGTTCTTTTCTCCCTCCTTCCCTCTTCTGCTCCTTGAATTCATGGTTCTGATGCAGAAAAAAGTCCTGCGACGCAAAATTGATCAAAATAGATTCCCTTCTCGCGAGAGTTCCGCCATGCATTATGACGCACAAGACATGCACGGCCATTTCTCTTCCCCATTCTTTCGAGTCCAACTTCAATGCTATTAGATGAGAAAGGCCCTTTTGATATTTAGAAAAGTCAAAGGAATACAGAGGAAAGCCACTAAATAGAGTCACTATGCATGGAAACCGATGAAGTGGCACGAACGCTGGAGGGAGCGAGGGAGTTCCTACCTACTCTCCTTCCTCCTACTTCCCACCGCCGCGAGAGCTCGGAAGGTAATGACGTGACCTGTGAGCGGGTCGTCTGGTTTTGTCAAGTGAATCATGTCAACTGAATCAGTCAAGTGATGGCGCATGCGTATTGCATAGGTGCTCTCTGCTGCGCTGAGAATTTCAACCCCATTGTGACTCTCCCCTGCTTTAAATGACGTTTTCTTGCCTGATGCATTGACCTGAAATTTGAGCGACCAGTTTAACCCATTGGCATATGATTTTATGCTCCAATCTAATTTCCAAAACGGTAAGTTCGGCTTCGCAGGCGTACAACTTTTACGTAAGAAAATGTTCTTGAAACCTATGAAATGCAGCGAGGAACCACCAGTACTTTGAGAAATGCATGCTCCAGCCATCGAGTGCAACCATTTTGAACTACATAACCATTTAACTCGAAACCAATGGCGGGAAAAGCGATGACGAGTAGCCCTCGTTATTTATTATAGGCCAATGGCTTAATTGTAAACTTCGCAGAATTGTCGGATTAATGCGGCCCACTCGAGGTGGACCAAGTGGGCCCAGTCAAAAAGGTTGGGGACCACTGCTCTAGTCCGATGCATTCCAGATGCAAGACGATTCACACTCTCTTTCGGACGAATGATGCGAGGATACGGAAACAAGAAGATTCTACAGACAAACGAGGAGAAAGAGGAACATCTCGAGACAAAAGTCCCTAGCGATCGTCCCCAGAGATCGGGTGTGACTCGGTCCTGTTTTGTCAGCTGTCAAAGAGCTTTTTATGAAAGGGCACCGAGAGTGCTTGCCATTTGTATCGGAAGACCATTCGTCGCTCTTTTGAGAAGAAAATGGCTACGGAAGAGAAGGAAATCCGCACTAAAAATGCAGCAGATATCCTCATGTAATGCTTCCTGGACTTACAAATTTTCCTCGTACAAAAATTGCAAATGTAATCCTGTGATTTTTTAAAAGTACGATTCACGTTTACGAGAATCTGTTGCACCCAGTCTCTAACTGCGATCTCCCGATCGCTTGCAATGCCGCTCATAGCGTTGGAATCCTGCTTTTAACAGCAACTCCTGGAATCAGAGAGTGATGTCGACTTCTTCGCTTGTCCTCCGGTTAGTGATGTAGATTTCAACAGCACAGCCAAGTTTGTTTGTTTCAAGGTACACAGCTCGTTCGATTACATTTCACACTTACCTTTGAAAACCTTCGGTTGTTTTATGAGAAGTGGTAATATTACCCCTAACGCCTGGCCATATTTCCCCAACAGTAGGGGTAGTACGGCCTCTTGGGACCACTTTGGAAGGGATCCAAATGCGCAATATCCATGCGTTTTTTTGCCCGTGCCTTTCTGGGATTGATTAAAGGAGATATCGTTATATATTCCGGAAATATTGGCGAAGTCAAATTCGATCTCGGTGGACCGTTACGACCAGGTTTCACCTTTTAGGGCCGTATTCCCCCCAAAATTCCCCAAAATGGTATTTTAGCTCCGAAAGAAAGCGTCTCATTCACAATAGCTGCTGGCAGGCTAGCATCTTTAGCCCTGCAGCTTCATGCTGGCCTCTTCCCGATGCATTGTGGAGCCGAGAGAAAGAATCCGAGGAATACTGGCAGGCCCAGTTTTAAATCCGGGAACGTCCAGAAGAATGCCGTCCGTTTATGACTTGCCATCGATTAAGGGGGGCGTCGGAGATGAACTTGGAAAGATGACTTGCTACAAATTAGCTCGGAGAGGGAGGGACGAAGGACCAAGCTTTTCATCGCCGAGGTACCTTATCCTTTCCCAGTTTGTGCAGCTGCCTCACATACGCGTGAGTTCCGCTTTTGAGTTTCCAGAAAGCGCTCGGTGTCTCGACAGTGAAACGGTCCGGGTTTTTCTTTCTCCTAGGTTGAAATGTGGTGGCTGCTTAGCACGGGGAGCATTATAGTCGTTCTTCTCTTCGTCTATTCCTTCTTCCGGCGCAAGATGTTTGCCTTCATCATGGACCGTTTAAACTCTCCGCCGGACCCGAACATGACGGCCAACAAGAAGTTCCTCGAGTCCTTGAGGGACGTCGTGTCCTCGGATCCGGAGTTGAAGAAATCCGGTCGGTTCCGCCTTCTCGAGATCGGGGTCGGGACGGGGCTCAACTTCGGGTTCTACCCTTCGAACGCCAGGATCAGCGTGTTAGAACCCAACAGCAACTTCAAACGGTACGTCCTCAAGAACAAGCAGAAGTTCCCCGACGTGGAACTGGAAAATTTCTTCTTGGGGGTGGGCGAAGACATGAAGAGTGTGCCCAGCGGAAGCATGGACGTTGTCGTCTGCACTGGCGTCATGTGCAGCGTTCAACCCAAAAACATGGACAGATTCCTGTCCGAAGTGAAGAGAGTTCTTGTAAGCAACGGTGAGTCTAGCGACCTCCCGTCTTCCAGCAGAACATTTCTTTACAAAACCGTCCACTCCCTATCCACCCGGTCGAACAACCAGCTTGGTTGGGGGTGGATTTGGAACTAGGTGGACGTCCCCCCCCCCCCCCCCCCCCCCCCCCCCCCCACCCCCCCCCCCCTCCCCCCCCAGTTGCTGTTGGGTTCTAACACGCTGATCCTGGCGTTCGAAGGGTAGAACCCGAAGTTGAGCCCCGTCCCGACCCCGGTGGAAATCCCCCTTTGCCATTCGCGCGCATGTATTTCGAGCCAGGTGAATTTCCCCTCCCGAGTGGACATCGCTCCAACAGGTGGAAATACAGCCTAAGGGGACATCCACATGGTTCCACATGGGAGTTGGGTGTTATGTAAGGGTTTTCACGGTTTTCATCACTTTATCTTCCGAGCGCAGGGAGATTTTACTTCTTCGAACACGTGGGGGACAGGCCGGGCACGTGGCGGCGATGGGTGCAAGACGTGCTTCAGGCGACGTACCTCTACGGATTCATTACGTGTGACTGCATTCCCAACAAGGACACCGAAGAGATGGTGCAAAGAGCAGGCTTCTCCTCCGTGGACATCACGAGGTTTTACCTTCAGCCGGTTTCTCCTCTCACGAGTGCGAAGGGCTTCAGCCTGCGCATCTTGGCCTCTCATATCAGAGGCATTGCGATCAAGTGAATTCGCGGATTTTTTTCCGCATCCGTTCGCAGTTTGGCGCTACTCTCTATCTCATTGGAATGAAAAAAATGGACTTCAGACTCTGGCATCATCTGACTCTGAAGGAAGAGTACATGAAGCTTTCAAGCGAGAAATATTAAAATTAAGTGAATGGAAGTTTCGGTACGATGAGTAGGGCATGGTTCTGATTAATCAATTAATCAGATAATCATTTTTAATTTAATCATTAATTAATCAGAAATATTTTCAGAAAATAATGCAAAATGATCACTTTTTCCATATTTCAGGATCATTTTACCATGAATTTTGTAATGTTGCATTTGAATTTGTGCCAACAATTTACTCAGGACAATTCCCCCACCCATACCTCGTATTTAAATATTTTAGCTTGCTTTTCATTTCCCGCTCAAATGTTATTCATTTGCAGTCGGCGGTCGCAACTCGCAAGCCGCAGAGAAGTGGGTGGGTGTGTCCAAGGTTTCTCGTGTGATATTTGTGGATTCGTGGATTTGTGTATCTGTACTCTTTTGAATTATATTTTCGCAGTCAAGCGCAGTGTTATAATCTCTTACTTTGATTACTTATTAGTATAGGTTAGTAGGATATAGATAAATAGGCCTAACCTAAGTAGAGGAACTTAGGCCTCAAATAAGCTAAATTCGAATACTTGTGATCTAGGGCCTTGTGATCTTTTAATTGTTGGAATGGCACAAGAGGGAGGGGTTTTTGCAATGGTATGAACTGCGAAGTACTATGCACTTTTTTGAGCGTTTCACCTTTTTACCCATTTCAAAAGTGTTTGATTTTTAATCATTTTTAATCAGTTAATCATTGATTAATTCGAAATTTTCATCATTCTTCACTTTTTCTTTAAAAAAATGATTAATTAACTATGCTCTAGCGATGAGTTTGACGATGAAGCAAGAAGGAAAAACGTGGAAAAGATCTCTTCTTTCTCGGATTTCACAATATCATGTTGGCGGAACGACGAAAATGAATCCAGTTGAAGAGTCGACGTTTCGCCGCCGACATTAACTCAAGTAGTTCAAGGGAAACATTCGTCGTGAACTGTAACCGTCGTTCTTATTTGTAGCCGATCTATTATTCCCATTAGGTATTAGTGCGAAGTTTGATTTGACGTGACAGATGGAAAAGCCATCTCGACCAAGATGGTAATGACGTTCTCGTGCAAAAGGAAACAATAAACGGTTTGATTGGGATAGATGAAAACGGAAAAAAGTAAGGTGAAATGGGACTTTCCTACAGGTGTTTTCAGGAACTTCATCTGCGACCCTTCGATCAGGGATTGATACATTTCTAATGATTCACGTAAAACGCCATCGCCTGACTGTGGTCGAAGGCGGAGAAGATGAAGAGAAAACTCCCATCACTGAAGATAACGAGGGAAGAGACGGGGGACAAGGGCGTCAGTCTGCATCTCGTCGGGGGCGTGCAGGAAGTGCGCGGTCCCCCCTCATCCCCCCGATGAAGGGGGATGAGGGGGGATGAAGGGGGATGAAGGGGATGAGGGGGGTGGTGCGTCGCAATCGCGTGTCAACTGAATCATCGTGATGAGGCATTTCCCGTGACCGTGTTTTTCGATCGTCAGTAGCGTTTCAGTGCTTCAGTAGCGTTTTGCTGGTGCGCGAAACTTCCGAACAATAGAAAGTAGTTAAACTATAAAATTACATTTTTCATAAATAAAACGTGTGGTATGGTCAGATGAGTCTGTGCTTCAGCTTTTCCTACCATTTAACCCACAGTGAGACTGGATCTGGAGCAAAAACTGCATCTTTTTCCCTCCCGTCACCACATTCGGACACCCACTGAGGATCATGGGGTGGGGGGATGTTTTCTCATCAGGATTACTCAGAGCTCCATGTGATCCCATGGAAACAGTTGATGAGGGCAATTTATTATCTGGAGAACATCCTCCAAAAGCCCTGCCGAGATGCCTCTAACACGATAACCACAGGAGGATCAATTCTGGTTGAAATGAAGTCAGAGGCCATCTTCATGCACGACAATTCCTTTTGTCATGCCTCCAAAGCCACCACTACCTGGTATCAGTAGCACCTGCCAGCATTCTGGGGTAAAGGGGCAGTGACCAGGCAACAGCTTTATTAAGGGGCACTGATAATGCTTGCCATCCGTATCGGAAGGCCATTCGTCGCTCTTAATTTTTGAGAAAAAAAAATGGAAATGGAAGAGAAGGGAAATGACAATATACCCTGTACCTATGCCGAACGAACAATGCAGAGGCGTTTAATGCGCGTTCGTCAGGCACGAGCAGTGCCATCACAATCACTACGTCACGATAGGAAGGTGTCCACGTTCCCTATTCGTTGGAGTGTCCACTCCGCGAAGCCACATCCCGGCACGAACCCTTTCCTCGGTCTGGGTTCTCCAGCGGGATGCCGGGGATGGGCTTCGACGGTGGAGCCCCTCCCCGTCGGAGGGTTCTCTCGGATTCTGCCTGGCTCTTCGAAGTGCTAGAGAGACGTGAGAGCGTGAGAGTCGCGCGAAAGAGTTACGCGAAGGAAAAATGTAGCAGCGATAGTACTGAGATGGGAATAAAGTAGTCGATGTCGCGTGAATGAGAATTTCACTTTCTCTTCATTGTTTTTGACTCGACGGAAGAAGACTTCGTCCTGTTGTAGTCGCAGGCTAAATGAGAACCACGAAAAAGAAACGAGATGGCTTCCATCTTGGCCTCGTTAGAGCCTGGATCGAATTGCTTGGAAGTCTGATCTCATTGTACGCACCGATTTGAACGTATTTGAAATACAATAAGAACGAAGAAGAAATAAATGTACAGTATCACAATGAGATGTCGAAATGAAATCATTGACGGACTTCTGTAATATTATAAGACATTTTTTAGCTCCCCAGGGAATTGCCTACCCTTTAGCCCTAAGCTCGATGCTGACCCAGTCAAAAAATTTTTATCCGGCCATCGATGGCTTTTCGTCAACGCGTATATAAGCCTTAGCTTATATGCTATGGCTCAGCTTTATACCAGGGGCGGCCAAACTTCCTGACCTAACGAGCCGCATGACAAAATCTTCAATTGGTCGAGAGCCACAAGGCAGATACCACTTTAAACATGCATTCTGTAATATCAACGCTCCAATTTTACATAAGGAATCGCATCCTGGTTCTTGGCATTTTCGCCATACAATCTGCGCAGCTGAACGCGACACAGCTGATCGTGTCGAAATCCGGAATGGCCTACTTTCAGGAGCAGCGAGTTTCCATCAAATTTTGCTTAAAACTCGGAAAAACGGCATCGGAGACTTACAATATGCTGCATACAGCTTATGGAGAGTCTGACACGAAGCAAAGTTTTATGTGGTTATTCTTCACACACAGAATGCCGAATACGAACGAAAAACCACCTAAAAGCGGATTCCATACCAGGAGGCATAGGAATTATGTTCTCCGAGTTCCGTATTCCACGTGACATCCTTGTCTCGACTGGATGGTTGGACCGAGGGCGGAACGCACGGGAGCGAATTCATTGAGCGGAGGGAATTTCCATGCTGTTTGGCATCACGTGCTCAACTAGCATTGGCATTCTCAAGTAGCTTAGGCATTCGACTCCCGAGTCAGAAGGCATCTCGTTGACACGCCTTATGGGTTTTATCTTAATATTTTAATTTTTCCCTTTATGGCTTCTCCTGCATCGGACACGGAAAGGAAAAGAAGATCCAGGACGATTATGGACTCGACGTGTCCGTGTCCTTTCCATGAGAATCAGTTATGAAGTAGGAAGAAGACCTTTCCTTTTCGCGCCTAGGTTTTCTTCAGCGTGGCTGCTTTACTCTCGTGTAGTCACTGATGAAGATTCATTTCCAGCTTGCGCTCAGCTGCAGTTAAGATATGATTGCAGTCGTTTCGTCGTCCCACTATCGCAGTTCCAGTCGACCGAGCTGAAAATGGAATTTTGAAATCCCTAGTCAGTTCGTGGTTCTTCTATTTTCGAGGAGGAGGCGCTCCTCGTACCGTAGTAATGTCTTCTTGACCTCAGAGACATCATGAAAAGGATGAGACTTAAATCTCGAAAGATCTCATCAAATCAAAAAAAGGGATTTCTTTCGAGAGTACTTTCCACGAAACTTGAGGTAACAGACAGGTGGAGATTGTTCCACTGGTGTTTCATCACTATCTCCACGACTATCGACGAGACCTCGTTAAACCATTGAGTAGTGAGTGTAACTGGAGGTGACTCTTCGAGAGGTATGAGGGTCCAAATATACATTTTTCAGGTGATTCTCAGGCCGTCCAGCACGACTAACCTAACCGCTAACACGCACCCCCAAAAGGATTCTCTATGTCTGGGATGATGGAAATAGGCAGAGCAAGCCGGTCAGCCGATGAGCTGAGGGAGAGCAGAACAGAACAACCAGAAACCCGACTATCGACTTTCTGGCCTGTCTAGGAGCGTACATTTCTCCTTTTTTCTGGCGTCTGTAAGCACGTGCCAGATTCGATTCCATTGTTGATTCATTCGCGATGGTGCAACTGCAAGAGGGAGAGAGGGGGAGAGAGAGAGATGTAATGAGGAAATTTAGCTCATTCATGCTTGACTGAATGGAAATTTCGGTTTGTCAGCTCGTCAGGTCAAGTGTGTGTTAATGTGCGATCCGGCCTTCATTCGAAGAAGGAGCTTCTTCACCAGTATGATGACTTGAACCAGGGAATGCCGATGAAAAGTTGCACGGAGAAAGGACTTACTCATTACATCCAGATGAATTTGTAGATGTGCAGTCTGAGAAGAAGAAAGGAAAGGGAATCCATCTCTTCCCTTCGTTCTTCGACGAGGACGAGAATGCCTCCAGAGGGAATGCGGACTCTCAACTCATCTCGGTCTCGATCAGTCACTGTCCATACTTGATATTCTTCCGTCTATCCGCAACAGTCATAGCATCCTATTGTACGGTATTTCTCCACTCGTTGGGCATTTGCTCCCTTCAACTTGGGTCGTAGTGTAAGTCGCCGACTAGAGCTGTCAGCCTCACCCGGCAGAGCAAAGGATGCCGGAAATGTTTGCTTTCAGCTGCACCGGATTGGATAGGAATATGAGACGTGCGACCTTGGACAAGGGCGGAGTAAAGAGGAAGGATAGAGCTCCTCACTGTGGGACCATATCCCTTATTCGTATCAACTGCGCCGTTACGTTTCGGAATGCGACCCGTGTTTTGAGTGCGCAATAGGTTTTCCTTCTTCGGTGGAAATGTGGTGACTGTTCTGCACTGGGACCATCATTGCCTTATTTCTCTTCGTCTGTTCCTTCTTCCGTCGACCTACGATGATGGTGCAGATTATGTAGACCTATTACCGGTTCATTCAGGATATAGGAATGTTTACATTCACTTCCGGTGCATTCAGCAGCACCGGATTGGAAAGAGATACAAGATGTAGGACCTTGGACAAGGGCGAAGGAAAGATAAAAGCTCTTCACTGTGGGACTATCTCCATTCCTTTACAGGTGTGGTTTTATCCCTCACTCGGATCAGCTCCTCCTGTAAGTTTCGAAATACGACCCTTGTCCTGAGTGCGAAATAGGATTCTTTCTCCTCGGTCGAAATGTGGTGGCTATTCAGCACGGGGACTATCGTTGCCTTCCTTCTCTTCGTCTATTCCTTCTTCCGTCGCTCTATGTTCGCCTTCCTCTTGGATCGTTTCAACTCTCCAACAGACTCGAACATTACGGTCATCAAGAAGTCCTTCTTCGAGTCCTTGAGGGACGTCGTATCCTCGGATCCGGAGTTGAAGAAATCCGGTCGGTTCCGCCTTCTCGAGATCGGGGTCGGGACGGGGCTCAACTTCGAGTTCTACCCTTCGAACGCCAGGATCAGCGTGTTAGAACCCAACAGCAACTTCAAACGGTACGTCCTCAAGAACAAGCAGAAGTTTCCCGACGTGGAACTGGAGAATTTCTTCTTGGGAGTGGGCGAAGACATGAAGAGTGTGCCCAGCGGAAGCATGGACGTTGTCGTCTGCACGCATGTCATGTGCAGCGTTCAACCCAAAAACATGGACAGATTCCTGTCCGAAGTGAAGAGAGTTCTCGCAACCAACGGTGAGTCTAGCGTCCTCTCGAATTCAGCAATGATTGTGCACGAGTTTTGCGACTTTAATTTTGACCGCAGGGAGATTTTACTTCTTCGAACACGTGGGGGACAGACCGGGCACGTGGCGGAGATGGGTACAGAACATGCTTCAGGCTACGTTCTTATACGGGTTCATTACGTGTGATTGCATTCCCAACAAGGACACCGAAGAGATGGTGCAAAAAGCAGGCTTCTCCTCCGTGGACATCACGAGGTTTTACCTTCAGCCGGTTTCTCCTCTCACGAGTGCGAAGGGCTTCAGCCTGCGCATCTTGGCCTCTCATATCAGAGGCATTGCGATCAAGTGAATCGCAGATTTCTCCATTTCCAGTGAAAATTTAATGCTATTTCCTGATACTCATCTCAGAAAACAGGAAAGAAACGTAATTGTCCTGAAGTTTCGCATCTGGCTTCTGTAATATCTGCCGAGAAGTAATTATATTATGTTATTAATTGAGAAAGTACTGTATATGGAACGTATTGAAACCAGACGAATCATTCCACGTCAAATTACAAAAATGAGACAATTGAGCTCACCCCCTCCTATTTTGATCAAATTTGTGGCCCTATAGAGTTCATTGAGAAACCAGTCAAACCTAATTTTCAGCTTCCTAGGTCAAACGGAACTTGAATATTGCAATAAAGTTCTGATATCTGTTCTGGTTGTAATCACATCAATGTTCTGATTGTAATCACGACGTACGGCATTTCATCTAGGAAATCTGCCTTGACAGCCACATGCAGCTGCTCTCTCGTTTGTCAAGCGATGGGCCCGTCAGCTGCGAAGGCTGAAAGGGAACTGGCTGCTCTAGTCGGCAACTGACACTACGACCCAAGTTGAAGGGAGCAAATGCCCAACGAGTGGAGAAATACCGTACAATAGGATGCTATGACTGTTGCGGATAGACGGAAGAATATCAAGTATGGACAGTGGCTGATCGAGACCGAGATGAGTTGAGGATCCCATTCCCTCTGGAGGCATTCTCGCCCTCGTCGTGGAACGAAGGGAAGAGATGGATTCCCTTTCCTTTCCTCTCTTCAGATTGCACATCTGCAAATTCATCTGGATATAATGAGTAAGTCTTTTTTCTGTGCAATTTTTCATCGGGATTCCCTGGTTCAAGTCATCATACTGGTGAGGAAGCTCCTTCTTCGAATGAAGGCCAGATCGCACATTATTCGCACAGTTAATACAACTCTTCCGGCAGTAGCAGGGATGTATGAATGGAAACCTCTCGATAAATACACGAAGTCCTTCTTCATGATGGTTTGATTGTTCTTAGAAAGGAGACAGACCAAGTAAAATTTTGACCCAGACTGGTCACATGGTTCGTTATGCCAAGGAGCTTATCAGTTTTTCTACGTGTGAGTTGAGATTGTTTCTTGGAAAAATTGTCCAGAAAATCTTTTTGCATCCAGAAGACCCTGTGGGCGGGCGTGTCGTCTGTAACAAGGAAGAGACAGAAACACGGAAAGGAGGGTGGCTGGTTTCCATCTCCCTCTCCTTGGGTGTCGTGTGCCAAATCGATACAGCGGAAACTAATTTGATTTTTCAAATGAGCCCACGTGGGATTAGGTTCATTAGGATTAATCTCATTTCCATAAATGACATAGTAGAGTCTGACCAGGGTATCAGATGAGACAGATATGGTGCCTGTCATTTCGCCCAAATGTCTCATGGGCTTCAAATTTTCGAGGGGAATTTGCAGAGAAGTCATTGCTGGAAAGGTCCTAAATTCGTACTTTCTTTGCTAAGTAAAGAAACTGCAGATTTTGACTCCTCGCGTTCACTGCCTCGTTTCAACATTTTTCGATCTACTCTTTTGAGCGTGTCTGGACGTAAATCACTCGAAGGAGGAATCGCGGTGAGAATGCATTTCTGATTGAAGTCTTTCTTTCAATGTTTAGGGCAAAAATGAAAACCTGCTTGCCTTCGCAGTCTGGTTATTTTCAATTTTCTTTCTCCAGCCTTTTCTCCCGTATGAAAACATGAATTCTTCGAAAAGCTTATGTACATAGCAGCTGAAGAAGATTTTCCCTACAATTCGAGGAGTCACAATCAAGTTGGTTTTATTCAATAAAAAAAATGTACGACCAGGCGGGACTAAGAAGTTGCGAGGCCCGGGGAAAGTGGATTCTTGGCCCCCCCCCCCTCCCCCTTCTCAAGGCGTGATACTTGTAGTCTAGGCTAGAGCATTGGTGTCCAATAGGATTTCGATGCTCGCCAAACTTGTAGCGATCATATTCCACCATATTCGCCACATTATACAAAATATATGCAATATTGATAAAAGGGATGCGCAATCTTTTGAAAGTAGGTTTGAGGTTGTAAACCATAAATCAAGACTGATACACGGCAAAATGTGGCGAGTGGCGAACGTATTGGACACCATGGGTCTAGACTCTAGAGCAGGGGTGCCCAAAGTTTTGGGTCAGCGGGGCCGCATAACCTGTAGGGAGCGGGCTCGAGGGCCGCATAATTGGGAAAACTTGCTTTTCTGCCTGGTAAATATACCAAATAAAAACATTTTTCCTGGTTTTGACCTAATTCAGCTTGCTGTTTCGCCGAAGTGGGCCTCTTTTATCTTGCCTCTCATCATCCAGCGACGGTGGAAACGGAAACTAACGACGAGATAGGAGTTTTTGACGTGATTAAAATCGTTCATTCATTTATATCATCATAACAAATTTATTTGTTTTCCAAAACTCCTCGCGGGCCGCACAAAAGCCCTTGGAGGGCCGCATGCGGCCCGCGGGCCGCACTTTGGGCACCCCTGCTCTAGAGGAACCACACACGGTCGAGCGCTGGTGGTGCAAATTTCGATTTGTAACAGCTCCTACTTTACACAAATACTTTTACTACACATATACTCCTACGTTTTTAATTTCCTTCGGGGGCCCCCTGGAAAAGTGGGGCCAGGGGCAACAGCCCCCTGTGCCCCCCCCCCCTCCCCTCCCCCCTCTTAATCCGGCCCTGGTTACGACTGTAACAGTGGTGCCATGTAGTTGAAGATAGAGGAGGAAGGATCCATGAAGACTTTCATCTCGGCCAGGACGGGCCTGGACTGCTCGCTATGGCTGTTGTCATGCAAAACGAGACGATCGTGAGTTTGAATGGAAAAGATGAGAGAAAAAGGAAGATGGCTGCAGACCTGCAATAATGCGAATTTCCTGCCGATAAATTCAGGAAAGTCACCTTCCACCACCTGCAGCCCTTCGACCAGGAAGACCGTTGGAGAAAAAACCCACATCATGGAAATGACGGGGCATGGACACGGGCAAATGGGTCGAGCTGCCCACCCACAGGAAAAGAGAAGTTGCGTGGTCAGGGGGAATGAGGAGGCGGTGCATCGCAGCCACTTACATAAATCGGATCATCGTGATGAAACGTTCCCCATGAGTGATTTTCAACCGCCACTCCCCCGTAAGCCTTTTACCGTTATACGAGCCGACCGATATATTGAGAAATTCTAAACAATAAAGTGCAGTTTCAGACCGAATTGGAATGATCGATTTCCTTGTTCCCAACCCACAATCGATGGCGGAGGGGAGGGGGGGGGGGGGGCGTGAAGCAGGAGACCTTCCGGAGTTTCATCAGTGTCAGGAGGGATTGTCCTATTCTAAATCCCAACTGGAAGTAGCAATTACTACAAGCTGGACCGCAGCTGCAAGTTTAGAATGGTTCCAGCTGAAGATCAGCTGTGAAATGAAGTTGAATACATACCGGTTCACAACTGGAACTGGTTTAATACAAATGTGTGTGCAGTGCTGATTGTACTTTATATACAAGGTGTCCCAAAATGAATATACCAAAAAGAAGTTGAGTAACTTTTTTATTATTTGATATACCAACAAAGTTCATAACAAAATATAATCTGAAGGCTTGTAAGTTTTATTTATTTCAATTAAATTCAAATTGCAAATTTTACATGTCAAATTATTTCCATCAGTAGCTACAATCAATCTTATTCTGCGTTCAAATTCAGAAAACACATTTTCCAACACAGCTGTAGGGACAGAGAAGACAGCATCACGGCTATGAAGTTCAACTCCTCAAGATCCCTTGGTTTGTTATGGTAGGCTTTTGTTTCAAAAGGCCCCAAAGATAGAAAACCCAAGGGGTTATAATCGCGGGAATGAACAGGCCATTTTGTAGGGCCTCATCCGCCAATCCAACGCTCTGGAAAGGTTTTGTTTTGAAATGTTCTAACGTTCCGAGCAAAGTGTGGAGGTGCTCCATCCTGTTGGAAGATTGCTCTTTGCAGCAAGCTGGGAGTTTCTTGCACTTCCACACTTTTCTCCCTAGTTTCCGCATTCACTCGAAACGCAACGCAACAAATAGTCCTCAAGAAGCCATGAAGTGAAATGACTCCAGATGTTACGTCAGCATTCGATTTCAAGAGACGTTCTTGACGCTATAGTATCTTCCTTAATTTTTTATTTTCCACCGGAGCCTCACCGTGAACGCGCAGAGTTTCTTGTAAGGAAACGAGAATGATCTTGTGTGGGGCTTCACATTTCATCACTGTAGAGTTTCGCGTTTCTCCACTTAATGTTTAGTGGCTGGTGATGAACTGAGAAGGTGAAACAGCGCGAAAGGGTTCCTCCGGATCCCATTGCGAAAGAGGCAGTAATTGTGCTTTGTTGTTTCTTTCACATTTCGGCAGATGTACCTGCTATCTTTATCGTACGACTCCTACTCTTCCCTGTAGAAATCATGTCTTCCAGCGTTGCTGCTCTCCGTCGCAGTGGGGAAATGCTCGTGCCTCAGGTCAGGTGGCAAAACGAGAGTGTGGGCAAAAGCGAAGCACCCCTAGAAATGATGAGGAGGCTGAAACTTTGTATACGAATAGCTGTTATATTGCTGACTCTAGAAAATTTAGCATTTCGGAGGTACTCGTCCTCGGGGCACATTTCGCGGGGACTGAATTTGTAAGCCTAGGCCCAACCCACGAACGGACGCTTGGGTCTATGTCATTCTCATACACTTCCTTCAACGAAACTGTAATGAATGTGAATGGCTGCTAGGTTGCAGACTCCAGAGAAATGCTCGAGATTTGCCAAATCCATTAACCAAGGAGTTTGACCGCATCGTTAAGGATGAGCTTTGAAAACGGGTGCATTAAATGCATTATTGGTTTTCTTTTGACCATAGGGCGTCCATAGCGAAAAGTATACTGTCCGTAGATTTTCGTAAATTGGGGATTGAGGAACTTACCCAAGTAGAAAGTGGGTGATGGGCCACCAGCTACGTGCAATGAAGAGCTGGCGACTCGCCACCTTGTGGACCGCCAGCGAGCTAATACTTTCCCAAGTCACTGAGAGGTGGAGCCCCAGGTATATAATGGGAAGAGAGGTGGCAGATCAGAGCCTCTCGTTGAGGGGAATCAGTAGACGTAGCGACATTCCGTGGACGCTGACGCCTGCGTAAAACTGACCACGCCTCGTGTATGGAACTCTCTGTACTCTCGTCACTTTCCTATTCCCACACAACGCCTGAACGTTTGACATTTTCCAGAAACTTGTATAGCCCTTCAAACATGATTCTACTTTTTTCCTAACATCTGCCCATAAATCGATTAATGAAAATGTTTTTTAAATGAAAAGGTACGTTCATCTGAGTCCATAGCCTTGAATGTATCCCTAACTTAACCAGTCC